CTTTTCATTCAAGCACTGTATGTTTCAGTGTGGTAGGCTTTAGATTTTTAACAGTGTGTTTTAAGGTGATTAATCTGCTGAGGTGAGCAGACTGGTTTTGCTGCAGGGACTGGAAGGACGATGGCGTTCAGAGATGAGAAATTGCCCAGAAGTTCACACTGTGTTTCTCCTCCTCACCTGCAACACTCTTGCCTCCCTTCCAGCTCTACTCATCCGTCCTTTAGGTTTGCACACCCTACATAAAGCAGTAGTGAGTGGACCAATCTCCCTCCACTGTCCCATGTGCTGCTCTGCTGGCCTGTACATCTTGATGATTTTTTTCCCTCAGCTCTGCTGGTAAGAAAGAGCAGGCTGTGTCTCCTGTGAGGAGGACTCCAGGTTGCAGGTAGCGATGTGCTAACGAGGGCTGTGAGCTCTACCTCTGTTGCCAGGGTTTTCCTCCTGGTTAGGTCTCAGCAGACGCCTGTGGTGGGTGCACCAATTTCAGGTGTCTCAGTGAGTCGAGTGTTTGGGGTCGGTTCTCTTCCACTTCTGCTGACTTGCTTGCTGTCCAGGGGTCCTGCACCTTTACTGCATCAGTTTCTTGTCATTGTCTTGTGGGTTAGGATAATCACATTGCCCTACCTGACATATTCATGGAAAAAAGCCACTTGAAATATCTGAGGCACTTGGTAGTACTGGAAGTAGGGGCTTGCATGGAGTAACAGAGTACACTTGAATGGAGTGAAAAAGTTGTGGTTGTTCAGGAGATCACTAATGTTGCTTCTTAGATCCACTCATCCAAAGTCTACAGTCCTTTTCCCCTCACAAATATTTTTCTGCTTGCCATGCAGGCAACCAACGTCACAAACAGTCCCACTTTGAAACAGGTGGTTTTCAATAGTGTGCTTTGATAAATTGATTTAAAGTGATACAAATTTGGACCCCTGCTGAAAAGAAGGTCCCGTGATACACTGACACCTTCTTTGTCCCAGCACTTGTTGTACTGCTGCTTTATACCAAGCTGACTCTGGAAGCTGATCTGGCTGAACATTCTCCCAGCCAAAGTGTGGGGCGTGAGGAGAAGCAATTTTCAGTCTGTTTGTCAAACTGCATCTGAAATGGCAATTCAGGTTCCAGCTACAAAAACGTATTGCTTGGGTTGTCTACTTATCACCAGTTTTGCATCATTAAGTGTTATGCATTCTTGGCCTGATATAATTGCAGCAGATTGCACACATGAACTGTTAATTATTTTATTTTTAAAACAGAAATTGCAGAACAGGAAAATAACATTCCAACATGTTTGCTTTTGGAGCTAACCCACCATGGCAATCTGTTAGTTTGATAATGGTTAAACTCTGAAACCCTTGCCTCAACAGGGTGCAGTAGGGTACCATTAAGGCAGCCATCTGTTGAACATATATACTGAAGGCATGAATTGCCTCGTGGTTTGGGTTTTTGACTAGTTAAAATGTGTTCATGTTTCCTGGATGCCCCTGATCTGCACTGGAAAATGCATGGAAAGATCAGAGTTCAGTGAAAGGTGAGTATCCAAATTTGGGATCGATGTCTGAGATCCCATGGAGCAGGGAAGAGATGAAACCTCGTGGGTGTACACATGCTGATAGTAAACGCTACTCTCTGGCAAGAGTCTTAGCTGCTTGAGTTACTTAGCGATTCAATAGATCTGTAAAACTCCATTTGCAGACCAAGGCTACCATTATGTTGGATTGATTCATCAGGATGAACAGCTAAAACAAGTTAAATTCTATCAGAGTTTTCCTGCATTAATTTAAAAATGAATTTAGTTGGCTCTAAATGGACATTTGTTTTAGTATCTTGAAGAACTGACTTTCCTCTATTAAAGCAGAATAATGTATCTATATGGTGCCCTAACTTGAACAGTACATAAAGATTAGTAAATAAGACCCCATTAAAAATACTTATAATGTAAGTAACATGGGTCCCAGTAGCCTTTCTAATGTCCATTAATGCTTATTCTGAGGATCAGAGCTCATTTTACTGAGCCATTTAGTCAAACCGTGTGATTATTTAGAAAGTTAATTCATGCATACTAAAATCTAGCTTAAGTAATGCAGAGGGTAGGAGGTAAAACTCTATGGAGACGATAGTCCTTTTTGTTATTTAATGATCAGCCATAATTAACTTGCAAATTTGAAATAATTAGAACAAATTAAAGGTATTTAACTTTGCCTCCCTAAAGAAAAATTCAAATTGCACCAAATGCAGCTTTAAATTATTCAAGTCTCAGAGGTCTGTGCTGGGTTTTTTTACAATGCCTTTTCTATGATGAGAATACCAATCTGCTTTTTGTCAGAAAGCATCCTATCAAGTAATTGTTCTTTGTGTCTAATAAATGACAGCTATTCTTCTTTGTAAAAGTATTTCAGTCTCTGAAGACTACATCAGCATTTCCATGGCATTTTAATTCAATAAAACAAAAGGTTAATGTTTTTCTACTTTTTAAGGAATGCAAATACTAGCAGTATTCAATGGGTCCTGAATGACATTTAAAATTTGCCATTCACGCTCAGTGGGGATATCGCGATATGAGGCACAGACGAAATGGAAAAAAACATTCAAGGTGTGTTTTGCTTTGTGGTGATGTACTTAGATATTCATAAGGAAGCAGCAGTGCTGAGACTGGCCATGCTACTCTACAACTCCTGCCTTAGTATGTAGGTTAGGTACGTTAATAAGGTCTTTATTTAGACAGTCTTATTCTGTTGTGTGGTTTCGGGGAATAGCACGAAGATTAATCGGATATCGTGGTGCCTTGCAAGAAGTCCTGCAAACCACGCTGCATTTGAGTGATGCAATGGACTGCTGCATTTGAAAATAGAGAAGGAAATGTTTTGTTGCGTAAGCTGTCTAGCTATACATAACTGATCCCTTTGGACCGTACGTTAGTTTTAAATTTTCAAGGTGGCAGTAGTCACATCACTCTTCTTACTAATTATTCCACAGGTGAATGAGTAACTGTGTTCTGAAACAGACACACAAAACCCCCCTTATGTTTTCTTTGTTTAATTTTGGTACATCATTAATTACTGAATTTTTGTATCTCTCCATTATCCCTTTCCTTCCTTGGTCTGCACATTTCTCAGATTAGGTGTTTGTTCAAGCTCTTATTAATTGTTCAGTGAGCTATAAGTACAAATACACTTGTTTTTGTTATTTCTTCATAAATTACCTTCAGTAACTTCTTCTTGCTGTCTGTTCCTCTTTGAATTGGCTCTGCCATAGCGTCATTTAAACCAGAACTCAGTATTCAAGAGGTAACTGCACCGTGTAAAAGGTATCGCAGTGAACCAGTGGAGTAATCACTTCCTCATCTACAAGCCAAAGGTCACTGTCTTCACAAAGATCTGTAGGTTGTAATTAAATGTACTTTAAAAACTCAGAAAGCGTATAAATAATGACAACCTTAGTGTGCTTTAAATACTGTTAATCATCTGAGTACGGGCAAATGGAATGTCAAGTCCCGTATTATCAGAGAAATCTGGTCAAGTATTGCACCTTTAAGCCTCTTTAAACATTTACTAGGGTCTAACCCCACTTCTTGCTGGGTTGCAGGAATTAGTAGGTTAATAATTTTATATAATTCAAATAAGATACTAATTTAGTCCACCATAAATTTTAATAACACTTTGCAACATTATTAGTGGCCACACTGTTTGAAGCCCTGAAGTAAACGGAGGTTATTCAGAGAAGTTTTATCCAACGCTTCAGCCAGTTATTACAGGTCATAAACCATTAAATACTGTTCTGCATTAATAATACAGGAGTAATACTAATTGTCCAACAGGCGCAGTGGGCCCTATTAAACAATGGCTTATAGAGCACATTGATTTGAAACTTAATTTAGCTATCATTTTCTGATGGGAACATCAGATACCTGCTTTTCCCTTCACATGTGCAGTAACTTCAGTAGTGTAAGCTTTCAGATGAAAGATTCTTGTGAATCAACCTCCACAAAGCTGTGTCGCAAATAATACAAATTCAGTGGCAGTCTTTGGGTTGCCTATGTAAAATCGTTTTTTAAACAGGAAAATTATTTGTTTAATCTTCTGTTAACTTAGGAAAGCTGTATGTCACTTCTATGCTTCCAAGTAGAGCAGTAGTATCTTGGGATGAATTGTATTTTTTCATGCGGATAATCCAAAGACTTCTTTTTGTGTGTATTTTTAATTGCTTTTTATAACTTGGGTGGGGCTAACAACATATATATGTTGAGAGTCCTCATTTAAAGCAGTAGTTGTTTTCAGTAGAATTTGAAAGCAGGTTGTCTTCACTGAGGGAAAGATGGGTCTCCATAGGCTATTGTCTTCCACAGATGCTTGCTCCACATCACCAAATCTGCCTCCTGGCTCTGTCTGTGCTGTGTTCATGATTTTGTGATGAAGATCATCTTGAGCCATACTGGTTTTGATTAGCTTTCTTTTCTTAAACTGCTGCACTTGCTGCACCAGATACTCTCGCACCAGTTTGTTTATACATTGTCTGTCCTACTTAAAAGTACCTTTGTTCATTCATATAACCTCCTTTTGTCTCATATCTCATGCCTTTTCTTCTTGAATTTTGAGGTATTGCCATCCCTGGTGGTATTTAAAAGGGGTGTAGGTGTGGTGCTCAGTGACATGGTTTAGTGGTGGGGCTTAGCAGTGTTGTCTTCCTGGTTGGGCCCTATGATTTTAAAGGTCCATTCTAACCTAAACAATTCTATGATTTTATGATCTGCTTCCCTTTTGCAAACTCCAGTTTTCTCTTTGTTTCCTCTTAGCAAGTGCGCATTTTTTTAGTTATTCTTTCTTCCAACCTTGTTCCACTGTGCTGGACAAAGTACTTTCTGTATCTTCATCCCACTTGTACAGTCCTAACCGCTCAGGAAATCCAGGACCTAATCCTTCTGGAGAGTGAAACTGTGGGAGAGGGCTGGGTACAGCATTGAAAGGGCTGAGTGCATCATGTAACGATATGATCTTTCTTTCCTTCAGCGTACCAGTGTTGAAACATGAAGATTATTTTCCACAGACACCTCCAGTGAGCAAAACCTCCAGAACACCAGGAAGTGGTGGGAGCAGTTCAGGAAAGAAAATGGTTGGATTTGGTGCAAACGTGCAAGATGGGAGAAGCCTTCTTGTGCAGACCAAGAGAGAAGGCACCAAGTCAAGGAAAGGTAAGGGAAAGCACACTACTGGGGGACCATGAGTGTGCTGATGGCATTTATAAATTGTATATATAGAATTCAAGAGCTTATCAGTAAAATGCACAATCAGAAGGAAAGGATTGCAAGTGGCTTAAAACAACCCAAGAGAAGGGAGCTACATTTAAAATAATAAAAAGCATAGAAAGCCTTGTAAATAACAAGTGATCTTCTTGGCTGGTGTTCCTGATGGAAGGGAAAAAAATAGCCCTTTAATCTCAGAAAGCGACTTCAACAATTCTTTTTCCTTTCCCAGCAAGCAGAGAGAATAAGTGCAGTGGGGCTTGCTCTTGAAATGTAATCTTCTTTATATTCTTTTCCTCCCCAAGTAATGGGTCCACCATCACAACCTGCTATTTTGCCTCACAGGGTTGTCTGTACAGCTAGAATCTATCCTGCCCTTCCTTAGTACCTCCATTTAAGGAGCAGAGAAGCAGTCTTTCTTAGAAAGAGAAAGGGTTGGGAACAAAAGCAGCTTGGATGTTTCACTGCTGAGCCTTGAACATAATCCTTGGTTCAATTATGAGCTAGCTTTTTTTTTTATTTTAACTTGTCAGCCAGTTTGCCGTATATGTCAGCATAAAAATAAAGAAAATGGCAAAATGAGAAGAAATGTGGTGCAGTTCTCAAAGGAACAAATAACTTGTGTTATTGGTTAAGACCATACTAACATTAAAAAGCAGTCCCTGTGAAGAAACTTTCAAAAGGGTATCATCAGCCTGGACCCAAACAGTGGCTGAGGTTAATCTCTTCCAAGGCACAGCTACAAAAGTTGGAAGCCTGTAAAGGGCTTGTGTCCAAAAAAATCAATTTCTAATTTGAAACAAAATCATTTTTGACTAACAGGGGTTCAGGACCCATTACTTTTGCTGTATAGTCTGCTGACATTTCACACTTTCTGTTGTGCACAATGAATCCTAATAGTCATTTTATAACATTGCTACACCAATCAATTTAAGCAAGAGAAAGCCGTTACAATTCTGCAAAGTTTCAGGGGCAATTTTCACTGATGGTTTTCTTTTATGGTTTTTTTTTAGCTATCATTATTTTCTTTCCCTCTTCCTTCTCCCCCCTCCTTCTCAATACTGTAGTGATGAAATTGAGATTTTTCAGTCGGATGATGGGTTTTGTTCCTTGGATAGGGATAGTCTCCAAAAAAGTAATTTATTTTCCATAGATTCGGGGGAAAAAAATCCAAGCTGGCCTCTTCTTCATTCATTCATTTCATTTTGTAGTACTTAGGAGAAGTTACAAGCTGCACCAGACTATTGCACGTAGCAATTGATCTGCACATATGCTGATTTAGTGATTGTAGTGGTCAGCATATTGTCTGAAGATGGTGCGTGTCTTTCGCAAACACTTACTGGGACTGCTGGCTTTGAAGATGTAGAGCTGTGTAGCAAAATTTAACTTACAAACATTGGCACTTGCTGTGATACCAGATAAATTTCAGAGAAATGCTTTCAAGCTGTGGAACAACCTCAGGTCTATTACTGATTTGAATGGCTTGTTTATCACAAGGCAAATTACCTAGCACTAATCACTGAAGTTGAAGTCTTCTGTATTTAGTATCTTTTTAATTGGCTTCCTTCTGTTATATGTTTGGACTTCTTTAACAAGCATACACACATACTTCTGAAGTAGTTTTTCCATCTTTGGGGATCACCAGGGCAAAATGTCAAATTTCTCAATCCTAGTTAGCTCTGGACGTAGCTGCCTCTGTCCTTGCTTCTGCTTCTGCTGTATCTTCCCATCTGTTCCTGACCTGGGATTTCTGCTTCAGAATTTATTATTTTATTAGGAAGCAATTATATAGCATCTAGCAAAAACAAAATGAGGGATGCTAACACTGTTTTCTGTAGTGACATTTATAACAACACAGTGTTTGCCTTACTGTGTCAGAGTGCTGAGCCAGCAAGCCTGGGGGTCTGTCTTGGATCCCTCTACTGCAGTGCATTTACCCGAGCTCTCGCTAAGCTGTGTGATGTGGGAAAGAGGAATGAAGTCAACGATGTCATCTTGAGGCATAAAACTTCATATTATTTAGCCACATACCTTAAGGTGGCCTTTTGGTCAGAAAACAGCTATGCTGGATACTCTACACAGAGACATGTCCACTGAAAACTTCTTGAGAGTCAAATGTTAACCTTTTGCTACAGAGGTTTATTTTTCTCATGCCTTGATCTTTCTTTTCTTTTTAAACTGTGCATTCTTCAGGATGGGGACTATCTCCAAGCACACCTTAGTGCAGTGCCAGTGGTGATGTGGGTCTTCAGGCTCTTTGTACCACGGGGAACAGTGGGTGTGTCCTGAGTATGATGCAACTCGTAATAGTGTCCCTGCACAGCAACATAGGCACTTGTACCAGGTTTTGGTGTTCAACTGCCCTTTACTTCTTAGATTTTTTGAGAAGATAAAAGGAAAACATTCCCATGCTGGAATGGTGGAGGGCTTTACTGTCCACAGGACTGCTCACTTACTGTGAGTGCAGTGAGTTTGGAAAGCTCATGTTCCAAACCCACTTCTTTCTCCCTGTAGATGTTCAGTAATCGGGAGAAGAGCATTGTTAACCTGTTCCCATTATCCCATGGAGTGAAGGGGCACTTCTTCCCTCTTTTCATTGTAGAAGCTTACTGGATCATCTTAAGCAACCAACTTTTGTTCTCTCACTGTTGCTTTTTGTCTCTTATTTCTATTTGCTCCTTAAATATTATTCCTGTGCTTTAGGAGGGGTTTGTGTCTTTTGGACAAACTTACTTAGTTTTACCAGCAAAACTTTAAGAAGATGAAAAAATCCTGAAGTCTTAGATCTTTTCAGCAGTAAATTGTTTTTATTGGTGTCACCATCAGCTGTGTCAATTTGTACTAAAACCTAACAACTTCTCTAGTTAAAAAACACTGGAGTACAGAAATAAGTGTTTCTCTTGCTTTCTGCCCTGGAAGATTTTACTTTTGGGCTGGGAAACTAAACTAAATTCTATCCACTGCGTTCTGCAGTTTTCAGCACTTCCTTACATTTTTGTTTAAGGTCTTCCTCTTCACAAGAACTCCTGAAACACCTTTGCGTTGAAACAGAGAAAGAACTAATTTTCCCTTTTCTTTTAGCGGGATGTGGCATCTGCATGATGTTGTATAGCATGCATAGCTTTGCTTTCCTTTCCATATGTAGAAGAAAAAGCCAGGGAAGGAAAATTATTTTAGGTTATAGAATCTGTACTTTTCCAGGGGCTGTTTTTTTAGTAGGTTTTCTAATATAGCTTCTTAGGGATTCAGGATCTGGGACTTCTTCCCTAGGGGGAAGAATTTTCTCTGCAATCGAACAGAGCAATTAGTTGATATTAGTGAAGCACTTTGAAGATGTGAAGCACTATATAAATGTTAAGTATTATGAATATTAGTATTATTCAATTCATAAAGATTTCTTTCATGATTATGAACCTAGATTTCCCTTTGCTTACTTGCATCTCATTACTGCTGGAACCATCCTCAACTGTATTTCTTCATTCTTAGTGTTTACACTTCCAAAATGTGGACTGCTGTATTTCTCCGTGTTTTTCATGTTTTAGTTGTCTGTTCCTCTAGTAGAAATAGACAGCTATTTGAATTTGCTTGAATGAGTCTTTAATCTACCTTAAATCATTCCTATACCAAGTTAACCAAATTGAAAATAGTATTTTTAACATTACCATTTAGAAGACATCTATAATTGCTTTGGGATAGCTTGCCTTGCAAACTTGTATCTAGTTTGTTTTTTCCTAATCTTTGCTACTCCAGGTTCTCTCCATTGCTGTCAGATTATCACACCATATATAAAACTTTTTATTTTTTTTCCAAGGGTGAATGTGTCTATTCTTTTTCCATGTTTCTTGCTTCTGTAGATCATCTGCAAGGTCTCCAGTCTCATACTGTCTTCCAACACCTGCAAATCTAATTAATTTGCTGTCATTTGTATCACCTCAGTTCTCTATGACTTTTCATAAATAATTACCAGTCACTTCATAAATTCATTAACTAATTCCCTTTAGCCCTGAAATATATATCCTTCAGACTAAAGAATTTGTGTCTTTTTTTCCCTGATAATGTCTTTTCATCAGCTTTATATAGGCAGGTATTATACATCAACACAGTCTTCATTATCGCCTACTTGCCAATATTCCTTTTCGTTATTTTTTTTTTCTCATAGTATATTTTAAAATTACTAGTAGCTTGGCCACTTTGGAATCATTATTGATTTAATCTTCTTCATACATTCATAGACCTGCTTGCTCTTTGGTGTTTCTTTTCCCTCAATTGACTTGCATGCCTTTTTCAAGATGTATTTTTAAACATTTTTTTGTTTAGGTATGCACTTATTCAGTATTTTTTGCTACCCCTCTTTTATGTCTGTGCAGCATTAACAGCCTCAGTATATTCCTACTTAGTTCTTTTTCTTGTATTCCCTTTCCAGTCGTGGTAATATTTGCAGACTTGGGTTTCTGAACAGTCCCCTTGAGGCTGTATTGGCCACTTCCGAGTTCATATATTTTGTTTTTCGGAGAAATACATCTACTTCGCTATGAATGTAGTATTGTTGACAGTGTGCCAGCCTTTTCTCTTAGTAAGAATTGAATATATTCTCCTATGCTCACCAGGTTTTTATTACTTCGGTGTTATTTTCTTAAAATGCAGCTGCCTCATTCCACTTTCATGTGAAATGATTTCTAAATATCTCTTATTTGATCTTAAAGCCAAGAGTCTAAGCAAGAGGCTTCCAGTCCTTAGATGCATACCCACTCTTCTCATCCTGGATTGGCACACTATCAAGTTACCAGGGACACACAATCAACATGTATCCCCATGATATTTCTAAGAGTTCCTTCGCTGATAATTAACTCTTTGTAAGGCGAGATTTTTCCACTGCATGGTACTGAAGCACAATGCATTGACAGGAGGGCAGTGAGAATCTTTTTTTTTTTGTTGTTAGTCTCCCTGGAATGCACCTTAAACCATGTGGGTTTATTATATTGAATGCATTTGTATACATGTTAATGCAGTATTTAATCTTAATCCCTTGGATATCTGTAAATTTTGCACTGATGCTGGAATTAGAGCCTTGTTGCTTCATGTTTCAGCATGGATGGTAGATAATGTTTCTGTTCACAGAGCTGAGAAATATTTAGGCATGACAGAATTACTTAAAGAGCTAAATACTGATCTGACTTTAATTTTTGCTGAGACTTGGAGATTTCCCTGTAGTTACTGTTTAGTTAAGTGAAGTTGGTTGGACAGAACTAATAAGGCTAGGTTATGAAAGCCCACACCCACAGGCTTTTGCATATTAGATCACATTAGTCCTTATTTGCCTATCTCACTTACCTCTGACTACCTGTGTGCAAGTTGTCTTAACTATATGCTATCTACAAAATCCAGTTCTCAGCTGGGTAGATGAAAGGTGGAAGATGGGTGGAGAATTGGCTGGACACCAGCCTCAAAGGGTGGTCATCAGTCCAGCTATCAGACAGTTGCTAATGGTAAACTGCTTAGCATTAACAACCTGGGCAGTGGGACAGGATGCACCTTCAGCAAGTTTGCAGACAACACCAAGTGTGGAAGTGGTCACTATGCTAGAGGGTAGGGCACAGTGTTCAAGGGACCATAAAGGTTAGGAAAATGATTTGACAGAAACCTGTTTAGGTTAAACAAAGGGAAACACCAGTTTCTTCAACAAGGTTGAACCCATCTCATGTAACAGGGCAACTTAGAAAGTAGTTTTGCCAGAAGAGAACCGAGTGTCCTCCTGAACATTAAGTTGAACACGGGTCAGCAGTGTCCCTGGAATAATCAAACCTCATACCAGGCCATAATAGCAATATTGTGGTCATCAGTTTGAGGAAGTGACACTTCCCCTCTGATCAGCTCTGGTGAGATTGTATCTCTAAAGTGCTATATGCCCAGTTTGGGGCTTCACAGTGCAAGAACTTCATGAGCTGTAGGATGTCCAGCAGAGGCAACCAGGGCAGTCAGGGGGTTGGAGCATATGACCTGCTGGGGGAGGCTGAGGAAGCTGGGTGCAGAGGTGATGCAGCACAAATGTTCTGTGTTCTTCAGCTACCTGAGGAGAGGGGGTAGAGAAGAGGGAACAAGACTGCTGTAGGGAGTCATCAGCAAAAGAACAATGGTGAAACATTACAACTTCATAAATTCTGATCAGCTATACAGCAAACATTTTTCACTATAAGGATGGTCAAACACTGGAACAAGAGAAGTTGCCCAGAGAGGTTGGTTTGCTGTTGGTAGAGACATTCAAAACCTCACTGTACAAGTGCCTTAAACCTGATCTAGTTGGCCCTGATTCGAATGGAGGATTCAGCTATGTGACCTCCAGATTTCACCTTTCAACGAAGATTACTTTGTAATTCAGGAGTTATTGGGATAGAGGAAAGAAGGAATGGACTAACAGTTTTATTCTGTTGGAAGCAAAATACTGTTAAAGGGATATTTACACTTAGTAAGTTAGCATCTTTTGTAGCATGTCATGAGAACTGCATTTGTGAAACAAGCTGAATCCTGCAAACCACTATAAGAAATGGTAACAGTACAAGTCTGTCAAACTTTGGGCAGCAAAATGGAGGCTGTAGTGTGTGACTTACTTTATGAATTTGATTCTGTGTGATTCTGAAATGCATGCTGTGGACATTACTGTCAGCTGATGAGTTCTCTGATTGCCATTTCACTGTATATATGGCACTTCAAAAATGTTGCAACTTTTAGTCCCAGTGTTCTGTAATAATGCACAATCACAAAACATCTGTCTAAAACTTACTAGCCTCTGATGTGTGGCTTGTCTTCACTTCATTCCACAGGGACAACTTCAGGACCTAGGAAGGATGCAGCTACATCTCCCGTGCTGATAGGCAGCAGCACATCCCCAATCCAGCATGACATTTCACGGTAAGCCACTAGGTAATCTCTGGTTTAAAATTCCGCAAGCACAACCATCAAATTCTCCTAGATACAGGGAAGTGGCTGAATTTCTGTGATATTTCGTGTTAGCACGAGCTGGATTATACAAACTAAAAACTAAAATATCCTTTTGACATTTATAGTAAGCCTTAAATTATTGTTAGAATAAGAAAAGCAGGAGTATGCCAAGTTCTAACATTTTAATTTTACTTAGATTTTGAACAGAAAGTATGTTATGTTCCAAGTCCTGACACATTAAATACATTTGTAAATAATTTGAATGGATGGTGTTAACCCCTGATAGGTTTTAAATCCACTTGAAGTTCTTAATCCTCCTGTACTTACTGCCCTCCCCCTATTTTGTCAAATGGCATTTCTTTTAAAATATTTTGTACAAGAGTTTTTCTATGTTTAATGGCAAGCAACAAAATCACATTAAGTCAGCAATTCCTGATTATGCTATATATCTGCACTAAATGCACTGGAAAAGCAGCATTATCACTTCTGCTCCAATGAAGAAACAGAAAGCAGCATTGTTGTTACACTTACAAGACGAAAAACAACTTGCCTTTTTTAGGAAGGATTACAATTCTAGCAGTAAGTGCCTAGAAAAACAGCATACAATCCTTGTTCATCATATCCCACATTTTCTCATAATAATATCTTTAGTTAAGCAACAGAGTAAATGCAAACAAAAGTATGAATTTGCTATATTTTACACTGCTGGTTAGATGACTTTGTGCAGTGGGATGACAAGAATATATGACCGTTCTTAGGAAGAGCTAAATATTTCTTGGAGAATGAGAGGGCTTTAGTCAGATTTAATCTTCTCTTGGCCCAGTGGGCTAGGAAAATGTATGCTTGATATCATCCCTGTGTTCTTGGCAGCAGCTGGCAGTTTATTTCTATCTTCTGAGAGAACTTGCAATATATAATAGGTGATAAACTACTATCAATATTGACAAATTTGTACTTACTTGCTATGGAAACACTTCTTTTTTTCTTCTGAAGGGAGAGATGGTAATTCTGGGAGGATTTAAGAACTGGGATAGATTGTGCTCTGTTTCCCACATGTAACTGTGTGTTTAAACACACAGCAACTACAGGGTTGCCTAAGCATTTCTCTTAAAAGCAAGGGTTACCTTTGCAAGGTGGTAATATCAGATAAAGAGTCTGTAAAGATATTGCTTGATACCGTCTAATAGTGATAAGTTGAAATTCCATTCAAGCGCTGAGGAGTAGATATAATTATTCACATCATACACAACTGCTCAGAAAAAGGAATTTTATTCAAGAGGATTGATGGTCCATTCTTTTCCACAGAGGGGAGTAAAACATTTGTTGAAATATGCTGTTAGAAATCATATCAGATAAAGTGATCAGTAAAAGGAGTCTGATTAGCTGTCATCCTTAAAGGTTTATTGTACCAGTTGATGACAAATTGTGAAAAATCCTGTATTTCTGGGTGCTGTCTTGCATGCTTCCTTGCTTTCTTTCTCTTTGTTGGTGCTGTAAGTATAATTGACCAGTTTAAGCAGCCATGTTGTGCTTTCCCTTACTCATGGCCTTCTCTAATTGAAAATGGTAAATGGACAAGTATTTCTGTGGAGACCTAAAGCTGATCCTATCCTTCATCAAAAAACCTGCTTGGGCAGCAGGTCAGTCTCAATTTATCACGGAATGGTAATAAGCTTAGACTGCAGGTTTAACTAACTAAATTAATCAATATTGAGAATTATTGCTGCTTTTGTGCCACTAAAGTTAGGTTTGTCAGCATGTTAGTTATAATCTGTGATTCTGGGGTGGGGGGAGTTAGCAGCTTAACCACAACAGTTGACCCGAGCTTGAAACTTACAGCGCAAAGCCCTAGCCCAAGAGCGAATTTATTTATTCAGCAGTACGTGTAAACCTAATTACTTTTGACTATTTAAATTTATAGGACTAGATTCAACTCGTGTTTGTGCCAGCTTTAACTAGCACGAACCCTGGCACCCGGCAGTAGCAGCAATGGAAAGCCTGCCAGGGAGAAGGTGTTGGAAAGCGACAGAAGCTCCCTGCCAGCACAAGGCATCAGGGTGCTTAGCACAGCTTCTGGGGAGGGCTGGCTGGATAAGCAGGCATGGCAGGTAGAAGATGCGTTGGCGTGATAGCCTGTCTTGGCAGGGCTCAACTGGAGGCTTCAGTGTGTTACAGCTACCTCCTGCTTGAGGAAGAATCACTGCAGTCCTACTTTTTTTCTGTCTTGGAATGAATGATGTCTGGGACAAGAAATACGTGTCCCTAGAAGGTAAAGGTATGTGCTTTGAGAGCCTTAGTGCTGGACCTGTAGAAAGACCAGACTTGCAGAATGAATGTGCACAAGGTAGTTTCAGTGATGTCTCTGAAAGAAAAATAGCATTTCTTTATCTGGCATCCTTAGCTGAGCTAATAGTAGACTTGTTTGCCCATCATGCTTCTACACATAACAGAGTAGATCTGTTACGCTGAGTGTCAGGAAATAAAACACTGCTTTTCATAACACAGCCAAGCATTGCATGTTTGGTTATCCAATGTTCTTAAGCCAGTGTCTACACCTGCATGAGACCCTTGAAATTATGTTCACAGCAGGTCTGAAAAGCATTTCCATTCATGTGCTTATTTATCTAGACCAAAGCCCACGTACTGGGGGGAAAAAACCTTCCACAGACAAGGTTGGGGCTGTGTGAATTTGGAAAAGTAAGTTTGTTCCTTACCCCTAAAAGCATAATTTCTCTTGACTATTTAAACATTACCTTTTTGGTGATTTGGGATATCTTTTTCATAACTGTTGTTTGCCTAGACAAAAGACTCTGGGTTTTGGCTGTGAGCTGGAAGGGAGCTGGAAAGGGGAGGTAGTGGCATTTGTATCCTTTCATTTAGCAATAAAATAGTTTTTACATAAACTAGAGCTTACCTTGGGTATAATCAGGTACTGATTTCAGCTAAACAAGTGTTGTGCTGCAAAACAGAAATGAGACTGCTCTAAATCAAAGTATTAAGCTATTTTTTTCTTACAACAAAAATGTTATAAATTGTGCCTTGTGAAAGACCATTTAATTTGATTACAGCTCTGGTGCAATTGTCAGGCTCTCCCCACGCAGCAACAGTTGTGGTGTTGAGTTTGGCACAATAAGTCCTATAACACTGCAGATAATCAAGCACTTAAAAAGACACCAGCAAAGGTTGTTCTGCTCACCATGGAAACAGATAATTCTTCTGTAACATTTTTCACTTCGGGCATCTAAGAAGTGAATTTAAGAAGAGTTAGGTAAATTAAGGGATTGAGTGATAGTCTGGGATTTCAGCATTAAGCCTCTGTTTTCTTGTTGCAGTTTTAAATCAAGAGCTTTAATGCTAGCTGAATGCATTGTCTTGGAGTGAAGTTTCTTGTAGCCATTAAAATAAGTGATTTACAAGTTCCTGCAATATGAATACTATATTCGAGCTATATTATTATCTGTTAGACTACAGTGGCCTGTTGGAGTTTTTATAAACAGATTGTATTGTGTAAATTTGCGTTTGGGGACATTTTAAAAACAAAACTATTTACCCAATTGCCCAGCACATCTTGGGTGAATGTGTATTCAGGGACTTTTAAGCAAATTAATATCTGATGTAAAATATAATGTGCAGAGTTGTATACTTAATAATGCACACTGGAATAGTCTAGAGTAGATCTGTTATGCTGAGTGTTAGGAAATACGACAGTGATGAGGTTTGAGCTTTTGCCTTACATATGTGGTTGTTGTCGTTCAGATCTGTGCATGCTGAATGCATAAATATGGTTCTGTTCTTAAGATGATACAATGAAGTTTCTTCTAGTGTAGAGTCTAAGCAAGCACTGCCGAAGAAATAGATACTTTTATTTCCCCTTAGGATCAGGCACCATCTGGGATTCAAGAGGAGGATGAGGAAGGTGATACTGAGAAAACTTTAATTCCAGATCTAACTTAAGAGCATTTAAAGGAATTAAAAGTTTGGAGTGAGGTGGTGAGTTAGGTGCTGAACGTGGTAGGAGATGCAAGTTTTGTCTTCTCCCTGAGAAAGCCAGCAGCACAAAAAGTCCAGTATAGTTCCATATGCGAGTGATAAAACCAGACATTGGCAAATTAATCTCTCTTATTCACAGTGTAGGTTGTTAATTGTTCTCTCTGCTGGCTGTCGATATAATGTGAAATTTTCATTCCCCATTCAAGATGGAAAAAGTTGTGGCTGAAAATGTTAACATTTGCATTTTTATTTGTTGATTTATTTAAAGGACAGCCTCTCTTACAGCAATCCATCACTCAGTGACACCCCAAATATGAATAATGTATTGTAGACTTGTGGTTACAATGTGTAATAAGTGCCAGAGACGGCAGAAGAATGTTAACTATGTTGCAAATGTAATATTTATCGACTCATAGTTTATTGCTTTTGAGGTTCAATAATACTGACCATAGGACATTAATATCACTTATCTTGATTTTAGTTGGGCACCTCTGTATGTAGAAATAAACCATCTATCTCATACTTACAAAATAAATGTGAATTTTACAGTGCTTTGTAAGAAGTGCATTGTAGATTTCTTTGCTTAGTCCTCACAACTCTCCTTTTTTGCCTTCTCATTTACTTATATCTGACATTGATCCCACTCCAATTGCCTGAGCACCTCAGCATTCTTCCAGAGGCTTTATTTACTGGCTGCATTATGATCTTGTTCCTCTGATGGTGTTTCGGCCAGGCCTCTCCTCCTGTTAAAGACCAGTATGGAAGGAGATTGTTAGTTAGTTTTCTAATGCTTCTATCTGAAAAGATGGTGCCTGAGAGGCTAAAACAGAGATATCTTCTCTTTTGGAAAGGCATGCATAGGAAATCTAAATCATCTCTCTTTTAGAGGATCACGGGTATCAGAAATAGAAGTGTTTAATTAGGTCAACAGTTGTTATTGCAGTCATGGCATTTATTTGCAGAGAAATTTTTAATCAATGAATA